CCGCCTCATGTGGACCTGGAGTTCAGCTAAAACAGTTTCTGTCCTGGAATCATGACACCATGATGAACCTGGCCTGCCAGCTGCTCCTCGTCCACCTGCAGGGAATTTTAGTGAAACGTTTTCATAGTTTAGACGTTTTGGTCTCTGGGAGTTTAGACGTTTTGTCTCTGGGAGTTTAGACGTTTTGTCTCTGGGAGTTTAGACGTTTTGTCTCTGGGAGTTTAGACGTTTTGTCTCTGGGAGTTTAGACGTTTTGTCTCTGGGAGTTTAGACGTTTTGGTCTCTGGGAGTTTAGACGTTTTGTCTCTGGGAGTTTAGACGTTTTGTCTCTGGGAGTTTAGACGTTTTTGTCTCTGGGAGTTTAGACGTTTTGTCTCTGGGAGTTTAGACGTTTTGTCTCTGGGAGTTTAGACGTTTTGTCTCTGGGAGTTTAGACGTTTTGTCTCTGGGAGTTTAGACGTTTTTGTCTCTGGGAGTTTAGACGTTTCGTCTCTGGGAGTTTAGACGTTTTGTCTCTGGGAGTTTAGACGTTTTGTCTCTGGGAGTTTAGACGTTTTGGTCTCTGGGAGTTTAGATGTTTTGGTCTCTGGGAGTTTAGACGTTTTTGTCTCTGGGAGTTTAGACGTTTTGTCTCTGGGAGTTTAGACGTTTTTGTCTCTGGGAGTTTAGACGTTTTGTCTCTGGGAGTTTAGACGTTTTGTCTCTGGGAGTTTAGACGTTTTGTCTCTGGGAGTTTAGACGTTTTTGTCTCTGGGAGTTTAGACGTTTTGTCTCTGGGAGTTTAGACGTTTTGTCTCTGGGAGTTTAGACGTTTTTGTCTCTGGGAGTTTAGACGTTTTGTCTCTGGGAGTTTAGACGTTTTGTCTCTGGGAGTTTAGACGTTTTTGTCTCTGGGAGTTTAGACGTTTTGTCTCTGGGAGTTTAGACGTTTTGTCTCTGGGAGTTTAGACGTTTTGTCTCTGGGAGTTTAGACGTTTTGTCTCTGGGAGTTTAGACGTTTTGTCTCTGGGAGTTTAGACGTTTTTGTCTCTGGGAGTTTAGACGTTTCGTCTCTGATTTGCTCCTGGATGTGGTTTCCTGTCAGTTGCAGAGAAACTTCCAGGAATGACCTTTCTGACCTCTGAGGCGGCCGAGAGGCGGCCAGCAGCAGAGGTTCGGAGAAGTGCAGGTTTCACAAAGTCAGGCTGCAAAAGCAGCTTCCTGAAAAAGGTCAAAGGTCAGATTGATGTTGCTGCTTTGAGCTGAACAGACAGTAAATAAAGGACAAATCAGAATGTAGAAATAAACAAACATGGAGTTTGGTGTGAAATATAAACTTCCTTATCGACATGCAGACGATTAAAACTTCCTGATTTACAGGAAAACAGAGAGAAGCTTCTGCTCAGCTTGACCTTTAACCTCCGACCTGTTTCTGTGAAAACAGCAGGAAGTTGATCTTTAGATCAACGGCTGCTGATCGGACCAGAATCAACCGATCCAAACAGAACCCGACCCAAACAGAACCCGACCCAAACAGAACCCGACCCAAACAGAACCCCAAACAGAACCCGACCCAAACAGAACCTGACCCACACAGAACCCAAATCAAACAGAACCCGACCCGGATCCTGCATGCTTTGGTTCTGCTTCAACACAACTGGATCAACTGACGACTCTTTAGCAGAACCTCAGCAGAACTTTGACCTGCTGAGGAAACAGTGGAAAACATGCAGGAACCGGGTCGGTACCGACCCACCGACCGACTGAATACGAATAAAAGTGAAAGTTTAAACTCATTCAGCTCCAGATCTTCTTCACTTCCTGGTTCAGAAAACAATTCATGCAAATGATTTGACTGAACGTTTAATGATTGTTTTCTGATTTCTCGGCCACATTCCTGCTCTCTCACCGGGACGTTCTCCGGGTTTCTTTGTTCCTGGATCGTTTCTGGTTTCACCTTTCGCTCCGTTTCCTCCTGCAGACTGAAGCTTCTCACCTGCTGGACGCTTCGTCTCTGTGTGGATCAACAGAAACGATGTGAAGATTTATGAATCAGAATCAGAATCTGCTCAGATTGAAGCAGGACGATCTCAGGAATATTTAGATGACTGATTGTAGTTTGTGAGCGTCGGTTCATCAGCTGACCGAACTGGAAGAGCAAACAGAAAAACAGGAAACTCGTTTTATCTCTGAAGTTAATAATTTCCCCTTTTTTAATTTGCTGAAGTAGAAACTGATTTAAACAATTGGAGGAACTGAGAGACCTTCACTTTATGAACAATCATCATAACAATAAAAACTTTAACTCGGTTGTTTCCTAAAATAGATCTGAGTAGAAGAAAATATGATTTCCTAAATGATTTCAGATATTTCTCTTTGAGTCGTTCAGGACGAAGATCCATCATCATCATCTTCTTCGTCTTGACGTACAAACGCAGGCGTGACGCATCGACCCGCTTTGACTGCAGCCGGAACCGAATCAAAACAAACGAGCCTCAGCAGACGTCACATCCAAACACATGAACTCAGACAATGTGTCAGCAGAGCAGAACCACAGAGCAGAACCAGAGCAGAACCACAGAGCAGAACCACGGAGCAGAACCACGGAGCAGAACCACGGAGCAGAACCAGAGCAGAACCACGGAGCAGAACCACGGAGCAGAACCAGAGCAGAACCACAGAGCAGAACCAGAGCAGAACCACGGAGCAGAACCACGGAGCAGAACCAGAGCAGAACCACAGAGCAGAACCACAGAGCAGAACCAGAGCAGAACCACGGAGCAGAACCACGGAGCAGAACCAGAGCAGAACCAGAGCAGAACCACAGAGCAGAACCACAGAGCAGAACCACAGAGCAGAACCAGAGCAGAACCACAGAGCAGAACCACAGAGCAGAACCAGAGCAGAACCAGAGCGAGAAAACGATTGTTTGAAATAACAGATAAACATGAAACCGTTTCAGCAACAGGAAAGTATCTGAGAGAAAAGAGTCAGACATGTTGGAGCAAGAAGCAGTGACTTCTGCCCAGAGCGTTCAGAGAAACTTCAGGCAGATCCAACTCCACCTGACCACCATCTCCTCTGTCAGGTCATCTGAACAAAGGTCAGAGTTCAGAGAAACCAGCAGAAACTCAAGAGCTCCACCTCCGTCAGAAGGTTAAAGGTCATGACGCTGAACCAGAGTGTTGAAGGAGAAAATGTATTTTCTTTAATAATACATTCAGGCTGTTTAATGTCTGATGTCCCAGTAGATTGACTTTGACTAGACCAGAACTCCATCATCTGCTCCGCCTGCAGCTGCTGCGGCTCTGAGTCAAACCAACCTGTTCCCCTCCTGGCCTGTGGGGGCGCTGCACCAAGAACCACTGAAGGAAACGACAGAAAACCCCTGAAAAAGAGACTGAACACAACTTCATTCTTCACCAAATGAGACAAAGACTGGATTTCTCTTTTGTCTTCACTAAAAAAAACACAGATCATTTCTCCTGCTAGCGCTAGGCTAGCACGTTTGTTTCAGTTGTATTTACCCAGAATGCCCTGTGCTTCCTGTGTTTGGAGCGGTTTCCGGTCCGCTTGGCGTTCACATATGAATTCAAACTGAAGCAGAGTTCACTTCACCCCGACAGAGACTCTGATGGACCAGAGACTCTGGTCTCTGACGGACTAGAGTCTCTGGTCCATCAGAGTCTCTGGTCCATCAAACCTGAGTCTCTGATGGACCAGAGTGTCTGGTCTCTGATGGACCATCAGAGACTCTGATGGACCAGAGTCTCTGGTCCATCAGAGTCTCTGGTCTCTGACGGACCAGAACGACTCGAGGTTTTTGAGGGTTTGACATTTTTAGTTCCGCATCAGTTTGATTTCAGATTCACTCCTCCAGAAGCGAGCTGGAGTTGGATCGAAGCGAACTGATCAGGACCGTCTGAACGATGAGACCAAAGTCATCAGATCAGCACAAACATGAGCCAAACTGTAAAGCACGGCGGTGGAAGGGTGATGATCAGGGATTGCTCTGCAGCCTGGGAGCCTTGAGCTGATCATCATCTCCTCTGTAATCTAGAGTCAGACATCGATCAGCTGAGGCTGGATCCAAACGGATTCAGAACCAGAACCAGAACCAGACCAGAACTGTGGGGTCTGTGTGTTTCCCTCAGATCGGTTCCTCTCTCTGCTCTCTTCATACCTGCCGTCTTACCTGTGCAGGTGAACGTGACTGGAACCCAACGACGTCATCCATGGCAACCCCAACACAGCAGGGTTCCCCAGCAGCTGCAGCAGCTGCAGCAGCAGCTGCAGCTGCTGCAGCAGCAGCATGAGGTAACGATCCACAGTGATTCATGATGCTCTGCAGCATCATTAGAATAATATTCTGTTTTTTCAGACGACTCGTTGGGATCAGGAGACGTGATGCAACCTGCAGCTTCTGACTCAGCAGCAGCAGATTCCTGAACTCCAGGCCAAATAAACGATAAAAAGGAAAGTTCTGCAGGAATTTCATGTGTTGGAAAATCATGCAAAGCAGCAGCTTGAAGCTTCCAGGCTCCCGTAGGAACAGAGCTGAACTTCCCTCTGAGTTCAGGGCAGGGAAGGAAAAACGGGCCAAACAGAGCTGGCTTTGTTTCATTAATGATCCTCTTCACGGCTCCATGGAGGAATCCTTTAAAATCATCTGTTTTATAAGAACAGGTGGATTTATAGACGCTTCGCTTCATGAACTCAGATAAAAGTCTTATTTTTATTCCACACCAGAAAAAATCTCTTTGTCAGATTTACATTTTTTATTGTTAAGCTTCAGACTTTGATTCCATATTAACTTGTTGGAAACGTAACTTTTATTTAAATCTTTGAAAGTTTTTATACCATCAGTGTTTCAGGAACTGCAGATGGAAACAGGAATAATAACTGAAGCTGCAACAGATCATTATTGATCCTTTAAATAAGTCAAAGCTGCTGGATGCATCTGTTCATGTTTAAAACCTGAAAAACCAAAAAACTTTAGTAAAGAGGCAAAAAACAGGAAGTTCATTTCAAGATTTTTATTACAAAATAATAAATAGCAAATAAAATAAATAACCAAGTAAGACAAACGCAATATTAAGATCAACAGGCATGTTGTGTTCAGGCATGTCTGACAGTTTTCATGGTTTGTGGCTCAGTGCAGTCAGTCAGTCACTGATTCAGTTCAAGTTTTCTGGAGTTCAAGTTTCTGTTTCCTCTTGTTCACAGTTCTGTTATTCTCTCAGATTCTGTCTCTGTCCAGACGCTTCATCCTCCCTGCAGGGCGGGAGTCTGCTGGCTGGTGAAGCCTCCAGCCCGGCCGCGCAGGGCGCGCAGGCCGCGCAGGCAGCGCCGCTTCTCTCCAGAGCATCTCCGGTTCTCCTCCAGTTCGGCTCAGTTTTTCATCCCGTCAGCCGGATTCGGGCGGAGTAGCGGAACCAGTCCGGGAGACTCAGTTGTCGTTGCCCAGTGTGTGGTAGACCAGCAGGGCCACCATGCTCTTCCCTGCGCTCTGCTCGAAGCCGCTGGAGTCGCTCTGCTGCGCGGCCTCCTCGCAGCGGATCTGCGCGGCGCTCCGCTCCGACATCTGCCGGGCCTGCTGCTCGGCTGACTGGAAGCCGAAGCCCTGATAGTCGCTGATGGAGCCGTCAGCGCTCAGCGGCACGTCGACGCACGGCTCCTCGGTGTAGATCTGCCACAGCACCACCAGGCACAGGATGAGCAGCCAGCGCTTGGCCTGGCTGCGCTCCGGGGGCGGGAGGTGCATGCGGACCTTGGCAGGGTACATGACCCGGGTGCAGCGCTTCTTGGGCCGGATCGGCACGTAGGAGCGCACGGCGGTGGCCTGAGGCGGGATCCGCTCGAAGGTGAAGACCTCCGGCTGGGTGCTGCGGGTCGCCATGCCGGTGCTGAAGGCGAAGCTCTCCTGAACGGTCAGAGTGACGCTGTCGGACCGGGAATACATTCTCTCTGGTTCTGGTTTCTCTGGTTCTGTTGCGGGTTTCTGTCTGCGCTCGGAATCAGAAGGGTCTGCCTGAAAACTTCCAGGTTCAGTCTTATAAAGGATCCTCCTCCAGTTCCTCCTCCAGCAGCGCGTTTTGGCCCCGCCCGGATCTCAGCCTGTTGCTCAAATGAGGAAACACCAAAAAATGATCACATTCAATCCACCAGGCAGAGGAGCAGCTGAGTCACCACGGGGTGGGTCACATTATCTCACTGCAATGCCAAACATCCACACAAAGAAACCCACACAGAGAAACCCAGACAGGCATGAAACTGTTTAAAGCATTTCATTCACTGCAAATATTATTATTATTACATCTGTTGGAATAAATAGGACAGATGTTGGTCTGTAGACTAGATGTTGGTCTGTAGACTAGATGTTGGTCTGTAGACTAGATGTTGGTCTACAGACTAGATGTTGGTGTAGTTTATCGTCTATGTCTGTTTTTAGAATAATTTTCTCCCTTTATTTTGATCAGACATGTTTTACATGATATTCACCAGATTTAATAAAAGTGTCATCATCCAGATATTTACTGTAATCATCAGACTGGACAGTTTGTTATGGTCACATGTAAAAACTGGAAACTTCCTTCAAATCAACGTCAAAGTGTCTAAATGTCAAGTTCAGACACTCTGAGGGTTAAAGGACAAAAACATCATTTCTGTAAATAAATAATATATTAAAGCTGAAATATCAACACAAAAGCAAAATGATTCATTTTCAGTTTATTTATTAACACAAAGTATAAACTGAGTCTGACTGATTTCTCTCCACATGGACAAAATATCTTAATAATATGAAATATAAGACAGAGAATAAACTGAAACAGATTTAAACTTAAACTTTATTATTTAAGTCAGATAATAGCTACAGAATAACTGAAACTTTCTAAACATAAAGAAAAAACACATTTTGGTTCAAAATCATTCACTGTGAAATTTTTTTGAATATTTTCTATAAATACATTTTCTTTCCTCATGACGGATGTTGCTGGGGAAAGTTTTGAAAATTTTCCGCGCTGTGGTTTTGTGAACCAGCGGCCATTATGAAACCGGAGGATGTTGTGAAGTCAGAGGAGGAAATGTCTCCTCTCCTCTCCTCTCCTCTCCTCTCCTCTCCTCTCCTCTCCTCTCCTCTCCTCTCCTCTCCTCTCCTCTCCTCTCCTCTCCTCTCCTCTCCTCTCCTCTCCTCTCCTCTCCTCTCCTCTCCTCTCCTCTCCTCTCCTCTCCTCTCCTCTCCTCTCCTCTCCTCTCCTCTCCTCTCCTCTCCTCTCCTCTCCTCTCCTCTCCTCTCCTCTCCTCTCCTCTGCTGGAGAACGTTCTGCCCCCTAGTGGACAAAAGGTCCCAGTTAAAGGCCAGAATGTTCAGTTTTAGGACGTTTTGGGCCGAAGGATCAAATCAGGGTCGCATGGTTCCAGTAAAACCTTGTGGATCACTTTTGGACCGTTGAGCTGGTTACCTTACAAACCGAGCCAAACACAGCTCCGCGTCTTGACTGTAAGGTGTTTAATGAGGTTCTGTTGGGAGCCAAGTTCTGCTGCTGGGGACTGGTGCTGTGTGGAGGCGGGTCCTCGTCCCGCCTGAGCGGATCCATTGACGGGATGCCGGGTCAGCTTGGAGCCGGTCCTGGTTCTGCAGGAATGTGCAGGACGCCAAAATAAATTTAAAAAAAAACTGCAATTATGGAGCAATTTCTGGAACAATAGAGAAGAAACCTGGCAACAGAACCTGGTTCTGGTTCTGGTTCTGGTGAAAGGAGCAGGCTGCAGCCTGTCAGCCAGTCAGAGTCACAATAATCCAGTTATTTTACAGTAAACAGAGTCGGTGTGAGTGATTATGGGATGTAAACAGCAGCAGATCACTGTGTTCATTCATAAGCTCCCAGTTTCTATGCTGGTTCCACACAGATGACCTTCTGACCCTCTGACCTTCTGACCTGCAGTTCCTGCTGCATTCAGGCCAGTGACTGCAGATAGAATAACTGTCATTTTACGCATGTGGTTTCAGGTTTAAAGATGTTTTCTCAGCTGATAGTCTGAAAGACCATCTTTGACTAGAGACCAGAACTCCATCATCTGCTGTGGCTTAGAGTCATGTTCCCCTCCTGGCCTGTGGGGGCGCTGCACCAACAACCACTGAAGGAAACAACACTAAAACCTCTGAAGACGCTGAGAGCAACTTCCTGCTTCATGGAAACGGAGGCGTCAGATTGTAGCGTTTGGAGGATTTCTCTTTTGTCTTTAGCTGAAGACCAGGAGACATTTCTCCTGAAAGTTGTTTTTGTTGTCTTTACCCAGAATGCTTTGCGCTGCAGTCCACTTCCTGTTTTTGGAGCGTTATCCGGTCCGTTATGCTTTGAAACCAAACCAGCGTTCACTTCAACCAAACTGAGTCCGAGGTTTGGAGGTGGATCAGAGTCCAGTTTCACAGACTCACAGACCGGTTATCGCCACCTGCTGGACAGGAGGTCAGTTGAAACGTTGAATTCGTTGATAAAGTTTTAAATCTTCAAACTGATGCAATCTGTGTTTTCAGGATTAAAAATTCAGTTTACTGTAAAGTTGAAGCTGCAACTTGTTTATGGTTCTTTAAAAGGTCAGAATGATTCGGACCTGAGTCTGTTTGGACCTTCCAGAACCGGGTTCAGGTTTTGGTTTGACTTTCCTCCAGACTCAGATTCTTGTAAACAGGCCGTTAATCTGTTTACATCAGCTCTGTGCTGAAGATAAGCAGTTCTGTGTAGGAGCATTAATAGCTCTACAGGTTCTGTTTATCTGGGTTCCATCGGTGGTTCTGATCCTAATCTCTGCCTCAAGTCTTTTTTCAGCCTGAGTTCCAGAAACTGCTGAGCTCGTCTGTCTGTCTGCAGGAGTCCAGCTGCCTGAACCAACAGCAGGTTCTTTGTTCGATGACATTTCCTCTAAAGTCTGGGACGAGATCCAGCAGGAGACCCGGTTCTGTCAGCCGGTTCTGTCAGCCGGTTCTGCCAGCCGGTTCTCACCAGCTCGTCTCGTTCAGCAGCGGAAAGTTTCTGATAAAATCTGTGAGACTCCTTCCTTCAGTTTGATTCTTTTAACAGATGATAATAAGGAACCGTTTGTTTTGTTTCTTTTCCGGGTTTTTCCCTCTCAGCTTTAGTGGATCCACCAGAACCAGAACCTCTTACTGGAAACATGAAGAGCTGCCATTTATTTATAACTTTGTCTGAATTCAACAGAAGATAAAGACGAATCCAGTTCAGTCCGTGATGCATCAGAACCAGAGTCAGGCTCGTCGTTTTGGATTTGAAACAAAAACTTTTTCAAACCAACAAAAAAATTCTGATGCTTAGATTTTTTTACTTTCTTTTCTATAAAGGAAATAGGAAATAAATTATTTCCAAACTGTTTTTTTCAGATTCTGTCTGGTAACAATCAGCTCAGTGTTTGGGCCTAAAGACGCTTCATCTGGACCCGGCAGAACCCGGCCATGTTGGACCGGGCCAGCCGGGTTCCCAGCAGAACCAGAACCAGAACACAGCTTCCTGATTGAAGTTCTGATTATTTACTGCCTCATATTCCATGTTCATCTGCAGTTTTTATGCTAATATGATGAAAACATTCTCATGTTGTTGAAGTGATTCTTAAATTGCAGATTGAACTTTTATTGACTAAAAATTCAGCTGTTTATGCCTGAAATATGAATTTAAATCCTTCAGTTTTCTCATCTGTAAAGTTAAAGTCTTTTCCTTCGTCTTTCTGCCTCCTGATGGTTTCAGACGTTTCTTCAGCAGAACTTCAGAGAAATGAATCCAACAGGAAAGTTTTCTAACTAGTATGTTCATGAAAACTCGAAGCAACAATAATTATTCATCTCCCTGAATTTTCAGCTTCCAAGAGTTTCTGCTCTGAGATGATTTCATCACTTTCTGCTGAAACCTGCACCTTCCCTCAGTTCCAGTTAGGACATGCAGGCTGATGTGAAACTTTCTGGATGCTTTAAATACCTAAAGCTCTGTTTCTTTTGTCTCTGAGTGAAAGCAGAAAGAATCAGAAGCATCTGAACTATTCCAGGCCTGCAGGAAACAAACTGGTTCTGGTCCTGGTTCTGGTTCTGGTTCTGGTTCTGGACGTCCTCCTGAGTGGTCAGCAGGACATTAGCTGACAGACACATTCAGCTGCAGCTGGAATCAGACATGAATGCAGCAGTCAGACAAAACTGTTAACAGATTTTATCAGGCTGAAACAGAAAGAGAGAGCAACGCTGAAAACCACCAGGAAGGCTGAAGGAATGCTGAACTTCTGATTGGTTCATCTGCGGTTTGGAGACTTTTCTAATTAATTTCAGGATTCCAGTAAAGACGGAAGCAGGGATGAAAGAAGCTGATTACTTTTTATGGCGGGTCTGTTAGTCACATCCAGGCCTGATCAAACAGACGCCACTCAGCGCGCTCTGACATTCCACAGCAGCATGAAGAGAATCTGCTGTGTATCGACATGATGACTGAGCACATTGATGAAACATTGAATTACCTGAGAAACACCTGCAGAGCCTCCCAGAACCTGAACATGTGCAGACAAAGAGCAGAACTGCAACCAGCCTGGACCCACAGCCAGGGGTTCCCTGATCCATCAGGAAACAGAAGATCAAACTCTGATCGATCAGGGAACTGATGATCGATCAGACTCACCGCCTGGCAGGAACTGATTTACAAACAGCATCAAACATTCATCAGATCGGTGGAATCAGATCAACTCATCCTGAAGTTTTTACAGTTTATCTGATTTTCCAAAGATCCAAAAAAACATTTTTTTTTCCAACTTAAATTTTAGTGTCAAATTAAACTGCTGGACTTTTTCTTGTTGTTCAGAAATCCTCTTCCAGTAAAAGTCGTGTTTCGTTTGGCTCAATAGAGATTAAAATCCAAAGTCAGCTGTACAGAATAAACTCAGTGAATCTCTATCTTAAAATCCCCAGAGAGGCGAAAACATGAATCCAACACGCAGTGACAAAACTCACCAGCAGGGGGCCGTC